TCAATTCAAACAAATGAGATTCAAGTAATTTCAAATGCTGAACCTGATGTTGGAAATCTACTTTTCCGCCTGATGTAGAAAGGCAATTAGCCTTTTTACATCAGGCGGAAAAGTAGATTTCCAACATACAAGACCCATCGAACTGGACACCAAAGTTTTGTTACTACCCAAAGCATGCCTTCGGAGCGTTGCTTGTGGAACACCAAATGTTTTAGATGCTAATAACCAGCCCATTTTATTACTTCGAACTGCTTCTACAGCTTTCCGCATTGATTCTTCACTCCAGGATTGGCGATCAGTCGTACGTTTATAATTACGCGGCATTTCAGTATAGCTGTAAAGAAAATGAACAGCTAAACACTTGCCGCCCGGACCCGAGATATCTCGGGATAATTTAAATAATCGTATGTAACGTTTCGTTGCTAGAAATAATTCAAACAAAGCTTATTTACATTCTATTGGATGATGTTTATGACCTCAGCAAGTTTCGTAATTTTACATCCAATAGAAGTTTAGTTTTTGGACCTTTTTCCATCCCTACCTATAGAAATAGTACTGTATATCGGATTGAAAAAATTGTGATATATTTGAGTATTTACGGTAACTGATGCATGTCTGTCTAGAAACCTGTCTTCCCCTGAGACTTATATGAGAATATCCCGCTAACGTCTACTAACAGCTGTCTCAAGGCCATTTAGCTCTGTATACTGTACTGTGGCGCGTATCACGTGATTCGTTAAGCGTTTTTTTGTTATGTGAACGGTAATAAGTTTTTAAATAATACGTAAGAAAGGAAATAAAGTTTTATACTAAAATTTCTTAGAAATGTATCTTATAAAATGGTGTATTATAAATTATTTTAATTATTTGTGGGAGTTTTTCCTGTAAAGCTTCTTTTGTCAGGATATTAGGTTAGTGAGGCTAGCATATAATATAAGTAATAACATAACAAACAAATATAAAAACGATTACAAAATAACATGATATATTTTAGTATTTAGGGTGACTAATACACATGTCTAGAAACACACTTCCCCTCAGGCATTCATAGGAATGATCCGCGAACATCGACAAACACCTGTTTTCAAGGTCAATTAACTATATATAACGTACTACATTGTGTGGTGTCTGATTGCAAGTTTGTGTTATATAAATAATAAACTGCATCTAAATAATTCATAATAAAAGAAACACAGTGATATATGATATTTTATTTATATGTATTGGTTGAGACAAATAAAACACACATACAAGAAAGTAAATCAAAGCTTAGTTTGCTACAGACTTCATTTTTTTATATTACCTTATTATAAGTGCAAGTTTATAAAATTATACTTTATTTTTACTTATTATTACGCGTAAATAGTAAAATATATTTTTATATCATTAAATTTATTTTCATTATATTTTTTGTCGTGTTTAATTTTTTAAAATTATTTTTTTATCTCTAACGTAACCTAACCTACGAATGGCATCTTTCTGGCAAAACGACGAATAATACAGAGAAACCGAATTGCAAGGGGCCCCTGTAAAGTTGGCTGTCCAAAGGGAAAAAAGAATTTAGGAACCAGTTTGAAGCATGTTTTCCTTTTAAACAATAATAAAAGTATATATATATCAATAAAAATATTCTAAAAAGAATCGATGGAGTCAGATAATTATTTTTTTATATTACCGTACTGTACTAATCTTTAGTACACGGAAAACTACTAGTTTTCCATTCGTTTCTGACTTTTGGAGGCTTAATAAGTCCCGAGTCCGTAGACTGGTATAAAAAATTAAAAAAGGTAAACAGGTTAACAAGGAAAATATAATTTTATTTTTATATAAATATATACTTCACCCCAAATGCATTTCGCCTGTCAAGGCCTCTTCAGTAGGGTTTCTGATGACTAGAGTGTACAATAGGAACAGCAGAAGGTATCTCAGACGACACATTTTTTTCCGTCGTAGACACAGAAGAAGACACATCTTTTTTGAAGTCATTTTTTATAATTAATAAAACGTTAAGAGGTTAAAAACGTTTTGTCGAAAAAGGTTAAGATACTGCAAAAACTACAATATAATAATAGACTTGACAATATAATTGATTTTGAAATGACATAGAAATTGGTTGATAACGCCCATTTTATTAGTAATTGTAAGGATTTTCATATTTTAAATTATAGTTTTTTTAATCGTTTTTACACAAGTTTAACTTGTCTTGTATCAGCTAGTTGGGCATGAGCTTCTAAGTTATCTCCCCCCGTGGTAAAGTGTGACGTAATTGTCATATAATAGTACTGTAGTTGTATGCGTTTATGGTGGTCGTTATGCAGGGAATAACGAAGCCAAGAAAGTTTTGTTTAATCTCTCTGGGAACGAAACTTTTTTTACAGACACTACCTTTATTATGATTTTTGTGCATATTTTTATGAATGAAGGGTATCTGAAAGTTGGAGTTGGTAGTTTTATCTGCATCATTTGTTCTTCAGTGGTATTGTCTGTTTAAATATTCAATAAAACATCTAATTATGCAATAGAAATTAATTTCTTATACAGGCTGCAAATAATTTATTTTTAATTATATGTCAAATTTAATTGTTAATATAGTTCTTTAAAATATTTTTTCAGATTTAAGTAATATTCATATGATTCTTCAGAAAAAGTTCTGAAACTGATAGATACTATTGAAAATGGATTAAGTGTGGTAAAAGAGAAAAAAGTTACTTAAAAACCAGTATTTAATTAAATTTTTTATTCTTTATCCTTGTGCATTTTTCTAATTAACAATAAACAATATTTTTAGATTGTTTATTTTTATTAGATGATAAAATAGTAAGAATATATAACTGATATTTAAATTTTCTATTAAGTTAACAATTCAAAAGGATGCAGAAAATGAAGAATTGCAACAAGTTCTATAAGATTTAATTAAAGAAAACCAGGTTTTAGAGCTAAATTTTAAATTCTTTATTTTCAGATTACACAGATATATATGACAAAAGCATTCATACTAAACTTGACCAGTGAAAAGATAAGAATAAACTATATAAATTATTAATTTTTATATTGTTGGGCTGCAATTTGAAAAAATTGTAAAAATAAATATCCCACTGTCATTTGTCTGTTCACAAGATTAAGGAAAGACAGAGTTAGATACCTAAAGTCCAAGACCAGATATGGAAACCTTAGGGACAGGAGGCCCTGATTAACTATATAAGAACTTCTGATGCAAACTGGAGGTCATGATATTTCAATTCAAAAATTTTCCCCTAAAAGCAGTTTATAGATGAATGGAACAACTCTATTGTTAAAGGAAAAGTATGATGTACAAGGCAAGCCACTACTAATTTGAGATGGAGTGCATATATTTTAAATTAAATAAATTAAAAATTGCAGCTTTGCATTTTGACAATGTCACAATAAATAATTGCTCGTTAACATATAGTATTTTAGTACCTAGTATACTGCAGTTGTGGAGTACATTGGTATTCAGCAAGCTGAAGTCTGCAATAACAAAACTTGCTTGTGACCTGCTAGAAGCCTATGAAGTTCCCTTGCAGTCCACATCTAGAAAAGGCAGCTCATCACAATTGTAGTGTTTACAAATAAATGTAAGTTATATATAATATACTGTTAATTTAAAGTCTTTCCAAATAGGAGAGGTTAAATGCAAAACCCTTCCTGTATACACAGTTTTGGCTCATTGTAACTCTAGTGGAAAGAAATTTAATAAATAAATAGAATAAAAGTTTTTGTTCTATTTATACATTTATCTTGTACTGTACATTCATTTATACAGTAGTGAGATTTTAGCAAAAGCATACCTTGTTTATCTTTAGAGATAGTCAAGGTAAGCTTTTGCTTATTGTGCTTTTAGTAGCCTCAAAATGCACAAATATGTTTGTATTCATTCTTGATCAGTACTTAAAATCAAGTACTTGTTAGGATCATAGACATACAATATCAGGGTAGTGAGTCCACACTTATCTAGGATCTCATACACCTTAAAATTTCCACTGTGGTTATTGGAAAAACAAATGTAATACAGTAATTGTATATGATATTTATTTTTAATTATCACTATTTTTACTTGTTTTTTTTAATGTCATATAATTGAGTAAGATTATTAACTATCAAGTCAAATGAAAAAGTTTATAAATACTTTAGATTTTTTAAATAATAAATTCATTGTTACAATGGTTTTAATTACATTAAGATAATTTTTATCATGCATCAAAGCTTTGGCACAGCTCAAAATTACCTTAAAGCATGATAAAAATTATCTATCTTAAGATAATTTTTATCATGCCACCAGAATGATTATGAATTAGACATGTTATGAAAATAATCTTATAATAAAAATAATTAATTATATTAATATCTCCAATTTTTTATTATGCTTGTAAATAATTTCCTCTATTAAAAATATTTACAAAATTTAGAATTACCACATATTTAGCCAAGTTCTCAACTTGTTCCCAAAAATTATGCTTGGGAATCCAAGCATAATTTTTAAATTTGCAATAATGATTTATTTAATTATCATTGAAACAGAAAACCCAAAACTTCAATTTTGTGCCAGAATCAATAGATTTATTAGCTTTAAGAGAGAAATTTTCTTTTGTTAGAGTATATTTTTATACACAACTGGAAAAGAAAATCAAACTAAACAAAAAAATAATTGAAATGGAAAAGTAAAATATGATTTTAAATATATAATTGCTGAGAAGTCACTATATTATCCGCATTACATCTTTTGTAATAACAAACATTAGTCCTGTGGAGTCACATTGCAACATGAATTGATAGTTTTATCTGTTAGATATAATAATAAATGATTTATTTAAATTTGTCTTAATGGTTTAAATGAAAAACATTTAAATCAAAATGTTAAAATTTTTTTCAATTATGAGAAGAAATATAAATATTTTTATCACAATTTAATTTAAAAAATTTAGAAAAATTAATTGAAGTAAAACCTGCAATAATTGATTTACAAATATCCGATAGTCAATACTCTGAGTTTACGAATGTTTTTGAAAGTTTAAAGTGAGAATATTGACTAAATAGCCACTATATATGCATCAATACATTAACATATTATGTTAGCATAACATCATCATCAAAAATTTCTTATCCAATATCAGTTTTCTGTGCCTTCTTCAACTATGTCATTTTTATCCATATTACTTTCATTTTCAGATTCAATAATCAAATTTTTATCATCTGATTGAAGTGACATCTGCTGTACTTCTTCAACATCTTTTTTTTCTTGTCAATTTGATATGTGATCTGAAAAACATCTAAAAAATAACAAAATACTCTAATAGATCATGGTATCTCATCCAAATTAAGGTAGTGTTGAGAAAAACAAGCAGTGTCACCTAAGAAAAATATCCAGTAGAGCTGTAATTATCCCAGCAACATTTAAAACTGTGTGTAATGCCATCTGTTATGGTATTTTATTAAAACTTTTTATATAATTAATTGTTATAAAATGGCAAAAAGTTTAATTTGGGGATAGAGATGAAAAATTAAATTATATTGTAAAAATTTGTAAATGCATTATTAGCATTTACAATTTTAATAATAAGTAAAATCTTCATTAAGTTTGATCCTACTTGAGATATAACACATGTACTCTCTTTCTCTCTCCCTAAAGATAAGAACTTTTGGCAAGAATACACATTAGGAAAATAGTTTTTACATAAAATAATTTATTTTTGTTATCTTATTTTCACAAAAAATATTTTAAGCAGATCATAGATCCTATTTGATGTTTACAGTTATATCGCAGGATATACGTCTTTTTCTAATTCACTGTTCTTTACAATCTCCTGGATTTCACGCATTAAATAAGGTATTTTTTCATGATCTAGTAAACTCTCCCAATCTTTTAACTTTACCTAAATATGAAAATAACGAAAAATAGTCTCTTTAAGAATTATGTATTAAAGATCGTCAAAAATTTTATTAATAAGTTCAGAAAACCAAATTTAAAAAATGTTAAAGTTTGATCAAAAATATTATCAAAGTAATATTTACAAGTAACAAAAATGTATAATCAGTTTTACCTTTAAAACACAAGTAAAAATTCTGGTTTATTTAACAGTTTTGAATGTTTTATTTCCTCATTAGAAAACTGTACTTGAAATTATTATTGACATCACAAGCAAACAATTTTTAAAATTCATTCTAACACACATGAAAAACTATGATGCCAAAAATTAGACTAAACCTTAATTCATTACTTTTAAAACAGTACATATAACTCCATCTGTTATATTTTAGTTATTAAAAAACTTTTTATATTTTTATCATAAAATGGCAAAAAGCTTAATTTTGAGGGTAGGGATGAGTTTTATAAAAAATTGTAAATGTTAATAACAAGTAAAATCGTCATTAAGTCCAACCCTACTGGAGTTATACGACTACCCTTTGTCTCCCCATCCCCTCAACCTTTGACCACCAAAATTTAATAGCATCAATCCCCTTAATAAACAAACCTCCCTGCAAAATTTCAGAAACTGTCGACAAAAACCACGTCAGTCAAACAGGGTGAACAAAATCGTGCCACAAACACACTAACATTCATACATACAGAAATTACCCAAGTTTTTATGCATTTCTTGATATTTCATGGTGTCCTAAGTCTAAAAATGTAAAAATCTGGGGGGAGTCATTTTTAAGCCATGGAAAACCCTTATAATAGGCAGTGTTGTAGCTACGACAGCAACAGTAATACAAGATAAATCTCTAGGAAATACTGTCGATGATACAACTATGGTAATCAGAATCAATAAAGGACTCCTAAGATATGGGCTATTTTCATCCATAAAGGTCAAAGTAAGTGAAGGAAAGAATGCCATACTTTCCCTCTTAACAGCCAGGAAAGTAACAGGTATTTGAAATACATACTTTCAGCAGTCAGAATTTAGATTCCTAACTCATTTCACAACATTATCTGTAATTGTCAAAATCCATTGGACTAATTTAACAATCAGTTTTTTCATTTGTGTTAGAATGATTTTAAAAGCTGTTTGTCTGTAATGTCAATAGTTTCAAGGATCTCTTTGGATTAGACATACTTTTTAATTAAACTATATTTAATTAAAATTAGAAGTTAATTGCCTTAAAATCATTAAATGACATACATCAAATTTTTGTGCTCTCTAAAATTTTTACTTATTTTCAGATAAATTCTCATGATTCAGTAACCAAAAATTTCTAATTCAAGTAAGTTTTAAACACATGACTATCTCAAATGCATTAAATTCTATTATTAAAATCTGTAATATTCAATGAATCTTATAATTAATATAATCATAAAATACATACCATTAATGGTAAATATCCTAACTTTCCTAATGTTTGTATCTGTAATTTCATCCATCCTTTCAAATGCCCAGAATTTTTGCAAAAGCACAAATCATCTGCCACAATAATTGTTATACTGAAAAAATTAAAACGTATCATCAAGACTTTCTATTATTTGTTTTTGTTAAATTAAAACACATCGTCAGCAGCATCATCATCATTGTATAAAATCAAAAACTAAGTGGAATTTTACTTTTCCAATTAATATAATTATTGAAAACTGATCTGTGAATTTCCATTTAACTTCATTTGCAAGATTACAAAAAGTTAAATGGTCTTCACAATAATTATGCTCATTCAAAGAGTAATTCAATAGATTAATTTTTCATACTTCAATATATCATAGTTAATTTAATCTTTATAACTTTTGGCTGACTGACCTGTCAGATACAATAAAAAACTATAAAGATGATGCAATGCTTGAAAACCAATTTTTTTTTTTTCAATTTTTTGATTATTAAGCAAATATTTCATAAATTATTACAATATATTAGAAATATTATTTCTGATGTATTGTTTAGTTTAAAAAAATTATTATTATTAGAAAACAAACAAAAAAAAATACAAATTAATCTTTATTGTTCACATTCTATTCATATATACTTTATTCTTCTTTTCCACTAAAAACAAGCTTGGTCAAGCTGATCTGATAGTATGCTTCACAAGTGCAAACCAAATATTAATTTTGTTTAAAATAAATTTTACACATCCTTAGAATCAAGTAGTAGTTGTGCATGGACATGCACAATAAATGGATTGAACAGAACATAACACTTAGGTAATGAAAGTGAAGTCATTGCACATGTGCATGGATATCTGACAGGTGGGCAAAAGTCCTAACATAAGTACTTCACCACCATAGTGGAGCATGCTAAAAAATAAAAGAAAAATCAATTTTATAGTGTAGTATCTGTATTTTTCATATTATGCAAAGAATTTTTTTCTGTGTTTAGTAAACATTATACCACATGTACAAAAGTCGTCCATGTTTGATAAACAAATTGCCTTTTCACATTTTTTTGCATTCATAGTTTGTTAGTAGCTTTTTATCAGGTAACCAAAAAGTTCAAGTAGTTTTACTAAGACAAAATTAAAACAAGGATAGTATTTATTTTTCAGAATAAAATATCACAATTAACAACTTTTTCCCCAATGAGAACCAAGTTTATAAATTTCATTCTTGTAAAAATTTTTGTCTTTAGAAGCAGAATCCTCATTCCTCTAAGATAGGAGAAACTCCATAGTCCTTCTTGAGAAATTCTAAGTTACTCTTGAAGTGTAGATTTTGCAATATCTTTGCAATTGAAGATCTAATTGAAGTTTAATAATGAAGATTTAACTGCTACATTTTAAGCAAAGAATACAGAACTCCTAATACAGAACCTTTATACATTTTCATGTTCAAAAGAGAACATGAAAATATGTAAATAGTGAGATATTATTTCCTTTTTTTGTTCTCATAAAATTCTTAAATGCCATTTCATACCTTATTTTTTTTAAGATAGGAAAAATATTTGTACAATTTGAAAGTTAAGTACAGTACAGATATTTATTACTCACATTTTAGAATCTAGTGGTATTTGTAAATCTTCAACAAATGTTATTTCTGTCCTCTGTTTAATTTCCTCATCTTCTGTAGCTTCTAAATTCCTTATGGCAATTGGATAACCACCTTTTCTCATAACTAATAAATAATCTGGAATATTTTAAACATAAAATATTTTAATGTAAGAAATAATAATACATTTAAAAATTATTTTTTTAGTCAAAAAATAATGCTTAAAGTATTAAATAATAATATCTTCTTTCAAATAAGTATCTTGTGATTTTATGATATATATAACTACATATATCATTATACTTAAGGTGGTTATCCAGGTTTATACAAAAATTCAGTTCTTGACAATATTACTTGACTTGATGTTTTATAATTTTGCTTAAAACTTTTTAAATATTTTTTAAATACAAGTATTTTAAAAATAGTATTTTGATATTTTATATTTTTGAACATTTAAGAAATGTAAAATTTATAAATAAATATAACAGGCATTTGTGAGGGTTGGGATGGCCAAATTGATGCCAGTTGTGAGGGTTAATGCCCAGTTGACATGCAATACATTGGGATGTTCTGACACAGGTAAGTAATGCCTACTAATCAAGAAACTGAGCAAGTTGTCTCGTGTGAAACTTGAGATAAGCAGATGGAGGAGGAAATGACAAAATATTTATTAACAGCACAAACAGATTCATTTATACAAAGGGTTGAAATTGTAATAGGTAATTAAATCTATCCAAGAGAGGAAGAGAGAGCTTAAATACACATTCACAAGAAGATTTTTTCTTTCTACAAACATACTTTCTAATCAGAGTTCCCACATTGATTGGAGCAGAAGGTTCTTATAGGGTTCAGGAATAGTTCTTGAGTATAATAACTATAGAAAGGACTGGATTCAAGATTATTATATTTAACTTTAAGTATAAGCTGCCTTTTATAAAACTTACATTTAGCAGTATTCTTTATTTATCACAAATAAACAAAAAAGGGTTTTTAAATTTTAATCCCTATCTTTTAATGTTTGTACATGCTTTTAATTACATAAGGTTTCGTCAAATTAAACTTTATGTGAAAACATAAAAACATCTCAAAATATTGAAGTGACAAATCAATCAATTAATTAAAAACATAAGTATATCTTATCCCTAACAAGATTGTCTAGTTGGTTAAATATAAGATTGTATGCTTATATATGTAAACTTATGTTCAATTATTATCAATTTATTTATTTAATTGAATAATCTCGCTAAAAACTTGTACTTATGATATAAAAATTTATTAAGCTATAATTGATACCAATACTATGTCAATTTCAAGATGTTTAATATTTTATTCTTATACTACCAAATTCACTGTAAAGTATGATCTTGTTTTATGCAGGGATTGTATGTCTTTAGGTCTGCATTAAATGAAATTCCATATAAATTTATCTTCCACCCAACTAAAGTGTCTAGATGATTACCAAGCAACCATTTCACAATTAATTAAAAAACATTAAAGAATAACATTTTAGTCCATACACAAAATGCTTTAAACACATTTTAAAGTAAAAGCAATGTTTCTGAATATACAAAGCAAAATTTTATTATACCGTATCAAGTACACTACTTGAAAAAAACACTATCCTTCTGTTGTAGTTTTGGTGTCAAAATTTTGTTTTAATTTTACAGAAATTGCATTCTAGTTGCACTACTTTTGGTTTTCTTCATGTTTGCATTAGAACCTTCTGTTTTTGTTTCATCTTGATCATTTTTTCTCAAAAGTAAGCTGTAGGTAATTAATTTCTTTCAATGTTTTTATAATTACTTTTGCTTCATAATGAATTTTATAATAAAATAGTCGGAATAACCCCCATGCATCCATAGATTAATATAATCATTTTCCATCTATGAAAAACATAATTCCACATATCAATCCTGCATAAAACAAGACTGTTCTCAAAATATCTGTATCTTCCGTATAATTTATAATTATGTAAAAACAACATACCAATTCCATGTCCATATTTTGTCATAACATTTATTTGAAAGAAATGTTCTCCTCCAAGGCCATGTTTCAAAAATGAATCCAGCTGAAAATTTGTTTTCAATTTTTCCTTCCATACTTTGCTCATAACTTCTTGGAATATGTCATTTGGCAAGTAAGGACCATCATAATTATCAAAACATAATTTAGTAGCCCATTCAATAATGCATAGTTCTTGGGCAAAATTTATTTTAACTAGAAAAAAATTCAATATAAATTATTATAATAATTATGGTAATTTTAAACATGCTTTATACAGGGTGATCAAACAAAATTTTTACTTCTGAGGAATAGATTTTTAACAATGAACCAACCATGCTTGTTAATTGCTCTTGTGTATGCTGTGAGAAACACTTATTTACTATAGACTCAAGAAATAAAATTTGAAATGCTAAGTTCGTAAATAAATTATTTTATTTTATGGCACCTGACTGACTCATCATGGTGGTCACCATGATGACTCAGTCAGGTGNACCATGCTTGTTAATTGCTCTTGTGTATGCTGTGAGAAACACTTATTTCTATAGACTCAAGAAATAAAATTTGAAATGCTAAGTTCGTAAATAAATTATTTTATTTTATGGCACCTGACTGACTCATCATGGTGGTCACCATGATGACTCAGTCAGGTGCCACTCTTTCCTGGTTTTGCTAAAGACTATTTTTTACTATAGTCCAAACAAATATACAAGTAGACATGAGTGAGCTTGAGTAGGAACAGTATATGTCAGATGAAAGGGATGGAAGGAGACTTTTAACATTAGAATCAAAAGCAAGCACTAAAATTTGTAAAAAAAAAAAATGATAAAATTATTTATTATAAAGATGGTATAAAAACATTTTAGAAATGTAAGAGATGTGAGAATCCAGACATCAAATCAAACAAGTTAAACCAAATAATAATATAACTTTTTCAGCAGTGATATCTGTAAACTTCTCTTCCTACATTCCTACAAGTAGGAAGAGCATCTCTTCCTACTTGTTCTCAGTGTCAAACACACTCTCACTTAATATTTCCCGTGATCTTTTGACATGCTGTCCCGAATTTACCAATTTAATATAACTAAGAGTCAGCCATGTCAGTTGTTGCCAGCTCCTCAACCCATCACATTTGCACTGTGCCACATATTTGGATTAACTCCGTCACCAATGGACGTCTTAAGTGCCTCCTGTAGGGATTAACTTTGTTGCCAACCCCCAGGAAAATCCTATATTTCATCTCTACTCCCAGGACGGAAATTTCCATGTGAAATACCTCATCCTGAACTTCTCTAAAGTGCCAACCTTCCTTGTTTACACCGTCAAAAGAGACTGATTGAAGCCTCTCCTGCCTCTGGTCTACCATAGGATCAACCAAACTTCAGGTATTTACATCTATGCACATTATCATGTAAATGCTCTCTCTCATGACACCTACCAGTTATTTTGACATATTAATATTATGATGTATATATCATGGAAATCTTTTACTTTTCAAATAAATAATTACTTGTTTGTTAAATCTAGTATCTGAGTATCTGAGTGCATTACTTCCATTGTGCTGTCTCATAGTCCTCCACCTGGAATCTGATGCAATGTTAGAAATTAGGTCATGCAACCACTCGCGTAACATAGTTTCTAACAAAAACAATTTGCCAACAAAGCTCCTGTGTTGTATGGGACGCAATGGTGTCATCCTGACATGGCACCACTTCAATGCCATGTCAGGATCAAAACAGCTGAAAAAGACCAGATCCATGTGTGAACTCCCTGGAGGGGGGTATCCACACGGCTCCTTCCATATGACATAAACCCTTCCAGCTCAGGTTGACTCATATCTACTCTTTCACTACACATACTTTAGTAAGCTTCTTATTTGATCACCCAATATAACAAAACTCAAATTCTATTTTTACATTTTTGCAATCTTTCAGTCAAATTAATCAAAATGATCTCAACTTTCTTTCCTTTTTTAACAATTAAAATAAATATTGAGTATACTTATTTTAAGCTACAATGTTATTTCATTAAGGAATATATTAAAAGTCTAAATTTGAATGTTTAACCCTCACTGCAAGAGAAGAATTCTATATTGTATTATTATTACAAAAATAATGGTATATGATAAACTAAAAATATGTGCATTTATTAAGTTTAGCTAGAATAAATGCAGTATAAACTCTGACCCTCATCTCAAGTTTTCAAAAAAATTGGAATACAGACCTAAAACATTATATTGAATAAATATGAATTACATTAAGCGTTTTTTAAGTTAAAATTAATTTAATAAGAATTTGAACATGATCAATATTAAACACCTATGACTTGGTCATAGCATATTTACAGTGTTCTTTTTTAAGACTACCTTTACAGTATGTAATTTTAGTATGGGGTACCAAAAAACTGTCAATGATGAAAAATTGCAGGCAGAAATTGTTCAAAATAGATGAATAACAACTCGTGAAATTGCAACAAATCTTAGTGTGTCGCGGACACATATTATTGAAACATGTCATCATCCTGAAATGATTGTGTTCGCACGCATTAAGTGAAAAAACCGAACTGGATCAAGTATAATTTTGTCTGACGAAGGTAGGCAGCTCTAAGGTTTCATTTTATTTTTAAATTAGTTACTCATTTTTATTACAGGAAACTTTTTACTGATGACAAAATTAAATTAAAATTAAAATAATGTANTTTTTTTTTTTTTTTTTTAATAATCGTGACTATTTTATCATCCGAAATTACTTTTTTATTTTTCACAAACAAAATAGATGTATTAATAAATATAAAAACAAAAAATTATTTCTAAAGTTCGTTTTAATTTAAAAATTATGACGCATAGCGACATCTAGTATCAAAAACGTTCCGATGTAGAAATGAATATATTAGGGTTCGACAAATGAGGTCAACACGAAAATATTCGGGAACAACACGGGACGGGTATCGCGTGTAGGCGCTATGGGTCTGAATAAATTACTAAGTCTAGCTCTACTTTTACCATCCCTTGCGGATCTCCCCCTGATGGCCACCACATATTCACAATGCTCGGAGATCTGGCGACAACTTTCTGTGGACAAAAAGCACTTAGCGTGTGGGCGGAGTGACCAAATCTATTTTTTGCCACGAAAATTTCAAAATTCATATTTTGACTGCATTATTTACGGGTCACGTCCGGGCCACTCACAAAAGGTCAGTGGACCGCATGTGGCCCGCGGGCCGCAGGTTGAGTATGGTGGCCTTAGACATGTCAACAACCATTTGGATAGCCGAGGCGGCTTTGAAGTTCGTTGGCGGGACAGAGGTGGATTACTTTGATATTTTGAAGTACGTATTTAAAATTAATTTATTTAATATTATATTATAACCACATTATATACAGTATTTTATTACAAATTTTTATGCTGCATTTGAAAAAAATAAACTTTTANCAACCGTTTGGAGAGCCGACGCGGCTTTGATGTTCGTTGGCGGGACAGAGGTGGATTACTTTGATATTTTGAAGTACGTATTTAAAATTAATTTATTTAATTAATAAGGATTTGAACATGATCAATATTAAACACCTATGGCTTGGTCATAGCATATTTACAGTGTTCTTTTTTAAGACTACCTTTATAGCAAGGGTGGCAACCTTTTTTATAACATTGGCCAGAATAAATTTTACGTTTTTTCCGTGGGCCATAGTAGTTAATTGACACCTTGTGACCTGTAAATTTTTAGTCTGCAAATATGAAATAAATAAATAAATAAAAAGAAATTAATTACNCTATAGATATAGATTTCTTCTAAACATCTCGCGGGCTGTAACTGGCCTGCAGGCCGGGGGTTGCCCACCGTTGCTTTATAGTATGTAATTTTAGTATGGGGTACCCAAAAACTGTCAGCGATGAAAAATTGCAGGCAGAAATTGTTCAAAATAGATGAACAACAACTCGTGAAATTGCAACAAATCTTAGTGTGTCGCGGATACGTATTATTGAAACATGTCATCATCCTGAAATGATTGTGTTCGCATGCATTAAGTGAAAAACCGAACTGGATCAAGTATAATTTTGTCTGATGAAGGTAGGCAGCTCTAAGGTTTCATTTTATTTTTAAATTAGTTACTCATTTTTATCACAGGAAACTTTTTACTGATGACAAAACTAAAATAAAAATATTTGTTATTAACCGAATATTTGTTCTAGCGGGCTGTAAATTTTCAGTACAGTATAAGATACAGTACTACTGATTTACGCGATTTTGATATACGCAGGATAAATTAACAGCGTTAATTTATTGTATATGTTACCGCTAAAGCTCGATAACCGTTAATGTGTACATTACCTAGCTAATCTGCAGATTAACTATGGTGATCCGTTAAAGCTGCGAAAATTGTTCAATTTCTCAAATTACCTAGGTAATTTGCAGAGTATCTAGATAATCTGCACATTAACGGCTTCCGTATCGTTAAAGTTCAAAAGTTTGTTTCTTTCACTTCCTTTCCCCACTCCTTCTTTTTACGTAGATAAATTTAAATCCTAGAATGCAAGCAAACACCGAATTGGTGAGTAAAATCAAGAAAAGATTCTTCGCAAACCTCTTTAGCGAAGATTTAAAATATAATACGTAGTGTTTTAATAACAAACCAAAGTATGATTCCATAATTGAAGATGTAAAGCAAATAAAAGTTTCCAAGAAGAAAGAATCATCTCGAGATTATCAAATAATTCAAAGGTGTGATGTGTTGACTGTACGAGGCTGNATGTCTTGCTTTTCATCCATCCTATGGGGTGTTTCTGCTTTTATCTACTGGAACAAGTGCTGGAAAATGTAGATTTTGGAAGCTTCCCCCTGGTGACACAAAAAATTTACAAAAAAAAATTGAGATGTATTGTCACAGGGGGAAGCTTCCAAAATCTACATTTTCCATCACTTGTTCCAGTAGATAAAAGCAGAAACACCCCATAGGATGGATGAAAAGCAAGACATCTGTATGTCACCAGTTCCTTTTTTAGAAATTTTATAATTTTATTTGGATATATTTGTGTTTTTTAAAGGACTTTTTTAAATTCTGGCAGCATGTAACCTATAAAGGAAGATTGTTCACTGTAAACATGTATAGTCTGGAACACAAGAAATAAATGGTAGTCCCTTTTGGGCAAACTTTGTCTTTAATTTTATTAACTGAAATTTCCATTAATATTATGTTATCAAATTATAATTCAATAAAATAAATCTTTCAAGTTTCAAAACAATCAAATTTCTTTAATATGCTATCATGATCTAACATGTTCTCACATGCAGAATTTTGCAAATTTTTACAATGTTTATAATACATTCAATATTCTAAATGCAATATAAAAAAAAAATTAACAACTGAAAATTAGAGTTGGAAATTTTCTAAAATTTAGTAACAAATTAAAAACTTACCTTTGTTTATTATATTATTCCTTAAAATTGAAGACAAGACATTCTCTGAGAAAAATGATGACGATGGATGACACTTCAGTTGAGCTAAGTGGCTATTTATTTTCACAAACAATGGAATTGAATTCTTTTGAAATAACTTCAGTTTTTCTTCACAAGAGCTTATAATCTTACAACACTGAACAATCTCAGGTGACTCATATCCTACCAAAGCAAATGGTTCCAACAAAGTAAGTATAGATATTCTCTGATCTAGCTCTACTTCTTTTGGATGCATTTTAATCATACTTGCAACAAAATCTAACAACTCTAATGGAATAAATTCATTCTTACTACACAAATATAATAATGAACTCAATTTCCAGAGATCCCATTGTTCATTAATTGCTTTTGTTACTAATGATTCAATCAAATATTTATTAAATAATTTATAATCTTTCATTAAATTTAAAACTGTACTTATTGCTCTCTCACTCAATTCTTCAATATTTTGACCAAGAATATCCAATGATTTATAAAGGAGTTCTTCATTTGTTTCATTACATCTATACTGAGTGTTTGCAAGGCAGGTAAAAATTAAATAAGCGTCTCGTGTAGAAAGCATGTTGACTTTTTGAAGAAGCATGCTTGTTAACTTCTAAAATAAAAAGTAAAAATATTTTTTTTGTAATAAATTCAATTTTCAGAAAATTTTACTTTTCCTAATACTGATACAAATATATGAGTTTTTTTAAATATTATTGGCATTAAAAGTAAATTATAATGCATTAAACTTAAATATAAAAAAATTCTTGAAATAGTTTGGCAGTTGTCATTTTCTATACTGAATGGTTTGTTTCAAAACAAGGTCTGTATCATTTATGTGAAGAAAATTAAGGTATTTTAACTGGTTACATACTGAGATAAAATCATTTATTTTTTGAACTTCTTAATATCAAACTTTGTATATCAAGAAACAATATAAAGCATGTTCAAATGAAACCCAATTGAGATGCATAACCATCAGATTAGGAATAAAGGAAAGATAAAACATAAGCAAATAAAAATGGTAGTACAGTAAGACCCTGGCTTAACGCTGCCTCGATTAATGCTGATTCAATATAACAGTCTGATCAAAGCCTGAAAACAAGCCCAAAATTTACACTGATTCAAATTATAGTGGCATTTCATTGATTTCTATATAATACAATTATTCTCAAACATGAAGCAATCAGCAAAAGGTGATAATTTGTCGTAGCACTGTACTTTCTTTAAATCTATGTTTGTTTGGTGCAATTTTAGAACAAACATAACATCATAGATGCCATAGGCAATATCAACTTCACTTGGAAAGAATTAACTGACAAATGCATAAACAGTGTGTGGAAGAAAGTATGGCTGGAGATAGGCTCTTCTCATGAGAATCCTTGGATATCATTGACCAAATTGTCAATCTAATCGATACAGCAGGACTAGGAGATGTAGATGAGCAGTATATTGAGGAGTTATTGCAGATTTCTGGTGAGAGTCTTACCAACAACGACCTTCGAAAACTGGCAGAACAAGGAATTCCCGTAGAACTGGAAAATAGTCATTCTGAAAACAAAGAACCCAAAGAATTTCTCTATAAAGATTTCCTTAGTAAAAGTTTGGTAATGATAACCAAAATTGTTGATCAAATTGTAGCGAATGATCCAGATTTTAAAAGGAGTGGAAAAGCAAGATGAGGTGTTTTGGATGCGATCTCCTCTACCGACATTTGCTTAAGGAAAGGAAAAAAAGCGACAAATGAAACTACATGACTATCGCAAAAAAATCAAGAATTTCAGAAGAGCCTAAACCTCCATCATAAAAAATGAACTTTACAATTCTGTGTGCATATGTTTGTGTGTTATTTAACATATATTATTATGCAAATTAATATAAAAACTTAAAATTAAAGAAAAATCTGTTTATTTTTGGTTGTGTGTTCCCCTTTCCCTATTTTCTCTGTGTTAAAAGGACCTTGTTTAACACTGTTTCATTTAGCACTTTGTCATCTAGGAACGTACCCCTACGTTAAGCACGTCTTACTGTATTTAACAAAACTTACTATATATAATGCTTCTCAGAAATCACCCATGTAGTTTAGACAGTGAATTCTGTCTGAAAAAAGATTGCAGTTCTGCTTGATCCAATCCTGAACTGTGTTCTTTACATACTTGTCAGTGTCAAATATTTGTCCCTTTAGGAATTTCTTTAACAGTCCAAAAAGATGAAAGTCAATGATGACAAATCTAGGCTGTATGTAGGATGTTCAAGGACCTCTACTTCTTACAGGTTAACGCATCAATAACCTTTGCAACATACAGCCATGCATTGCTGTAGAGAATGATGACTCCTAATAAGAAGATGCTGAGTTGCTCGTTTTTATAGCTGTATGCAGATTATTGAGCATTTGGATGTACCACTGGGCACTGATTGTGGTTTTTTGGAGTCCTTAAACTCCAATAAGATGATTCCCTGAAAGGTTTTGCTGACCTGCATGTCAAAGAATGCAGTCAACAAAACCTTTCCAGTTTTGTGTTTTGAATTCCTTTAGAGAAGCCAGCATTTTCTACCACTACATGTGAACAACAGACTTTCTTATCAGTTCAAAGTGGTAACTCCACCTTTATCTCATTACTGTGCACAATAAGAATCATTTGCCCTCATTGCCATAGTGCATCAAATGCTGCAACCTGAGGCCCATTTGCTGTCCCTTATGGTCTTCTATCAGAATGTGCAGTATCCTTGAGCAACACACTGTCTCTCATAACCTGGAGTTTCAGAATCTTCTGTACAGGACCAATGGAAATGTCAAACTCACTTGCCAAGTCACAATTACAGTAAGAATCCACTTAACGCGGGGATGCATTCCTAGACAACAAAGTGCTAAACGAAACAGCATTAAATGAGATCATTTTAACATAGAGTAAATAGGGATAGGGAAACACACGACCAAAATAAAATAAACTTTAATTTTAAGTTATACTATTATACAAATTAATATAAAAATATGTTAAATAACACACAAACATATGCACACAGAAATGTATAATAATATATTAATTAGTTCAATTTTTCTATATTAATACAGTAGAGCATCGATTATCTGACTCAATTGGGAACTCAGATTGGTCGGATAACTGAAAAAATCAGATAACCGAAAAGAATGAAAAAAAAATACATTATTAGTATAGTATATTAGTATATCCCATGTAAATAGCATATTAGTATATCACTATTAACCAACTTCACGTTGAATTTTCAATGATGTTAAGCCTAACAAATTTTTTTAAAAATAATAATCGTCGCTACTGTAGTGTTAAAAATTATTTTATTGCTCACAAAAAAAAAACAACCACTCATAATTAGAAAATTAAGTCTCATTTAAATACTTGCCTTCCTTCAATGGTTGAGCCATGTTGCCAGCTAAAACACGCAAAAATTTAACATAAATAATATTAAAGTAGCCAAGACATAGCCAAATATTGTAGCACCACATCATTAGCGGACATTTGAAATTTGCATACTAAATGGTCAGTTAACTGATGTGATGGTTAATCGGGGGTCGGATAATCAATGCTCTACTGTAGTTCATTTTTTGTGACAAAGGTCCTGACTTTTCTGAAATTCTTGATTTTTTGCAATAAAGACGTGAAGTTTCACTTGTCACTTTTTTCTTTCCTTAATCAAATGTCGGTAGCAGAAGATCGCATCCAAAACGCCTCGTTTTGCTTTTGCACTCCTTTCAAAATCTAGATCATTCGCTACAATTTGATCAATGATTTCGGTTATTGTTACCAAACTTTTACTAAGGAAATCTGTAGAGAAATTTTTTGGGTTCTTCATTTTCAGAATCACTATTTTCCAGTTCTACGTGAATTCCTTGTTCTGCCAGTTCTTGAAGGTCATCGTTGGTAAGGCTCTCCCCAGAAACCTGCTGTAATTCTTCAATATCCTGCTCATCTATATCTCCTAGTCCTGCTATATCGATTAGGTTGAGTTTGGTCAACCTAACAATACAGCAATAGGCTCTTCTCATTGAGAATTCTTGGATACCTTCAGCTATAACTTCTTCCACACTTTGTTCGTGCATTTATCAGTTAATTCTTGCCAAGCAAAGTCGATATTTCCTATGGCATCCATGATTTTATATTTTTTTCAAAATTGCACCAAACAGACGAATTCACATCTTTTGCTGATTGGTTCATGTTCATAAATAATTGTATTACAGTAGACCCCCCTATAACGCTTAGATACGTTCCACGTTATTCGAATTTTACGTTGTAGGAATCATTAAATACATGAGCCAATCGCAGCCCGACACGTGTGAAGTTTACTGACTAAGGCTATTTGAAAGGTTTTCTTCTATAAAATTAACCGATTCTAGACTAATTCCACTCAACATTTCCAAAACACGTATAATTTTTTGGGAATAATCCGTATAAACTATGCTATAAACAAAAAATTGTAGGATTACTTACCGAGTGTGCACCGTTCGACTACGCCGTTGCTCAAGCTTGTTTTCGTCGCGGAACAGCGCACGAAACGGCGGCCGCGATTTCTGATAACGAATTTTTCGCAGAAAAATAACTTGACCTTTGGAGACATCATTAATATAAATAATTTTTATGGCCGTTGAATAAGAAATGTTTCTTTCACAAGAAATGTATAAAATTAGTGCTGTATTAGACTTACGGTACCTAATTTACATACTGTACAGACGATAATAAACTCAACTTACTAGCCTAAAATCTCCGTAGCGTGTTGCCAGGCGGCAGAAAGCATATATATAATTATAATAAAGTTACAATAAATTAAGTTAATATATAATTATATATACAGTACCTAATTTATATATAATTAATATATAATTATATGTACAGTACCTAATTTATATATAATTTATATATAATGCTGTACAGACAATAGCAAACTCAATTTAGCCGCCTAAACTCTCCTTAGCGTGGCGCTGGGCAGCGGAAAGTAGTTCGGCTGCTCGTTCACTATTGGTCCAGATTCGACCAATCTTGTCGCGACAGGAGTCGGCGACAACATTTTATGAGTCACTTTATATGAATACTGCTACAATTTTTTCGCTACGTTATAGGAATTTCCGTTATAGGAATCCACGTTATAGGGGGTCGACTGTATATACGAATCAATAAAATGCCATGATAATTTAAATCACAAATTTTGACCTGGTTTTAGGCTTTGAGCAAACCACATTATATCGAGTCAGCGTTAAGCAAGGCAGTGGTTAAGTGGAGTCTTACTATATTTGGAATTATCTAAATACATTATTTCCAAATAGATGGATTGGACGATCAGGACTAGTTCATTGGACATCAAGGTCACATAATCCCACTCCATTGGACTTTCTTTGTGAAGTCATGTAAAACAAGAAGTGACATATAGCCAACCACTGAAGATGACCTCCAGACTAGAATTCTTTTAGAATATGCCAACATCCAACCATCAACATTGGCATTTGGACAAGATGCCATCTACCATCAAGCAGAACTTTGTGTAGCTGCTGATGGTCATCATATTGAACATCTGAATTAATCTCATTTCATCTTATGTCCATCATCTTTGATTACCAACATGTATCATTTTGACAAAATAAAAAAAAAATTTGTAATCAGTTTTTTATTATTTACATTTTGTTTGTGGAATTTCTATTTCTATTCATTGGTTGTTTTGCCTGAATCTGAACATTAATGCAGTTAGTTCACTGCATGAAATCAATAAAATTTTGCTTGCAGTTTTGATTTTTTTTTCAACCTTCATGTTTATGAATTGAACAAAAGCTGATTCTTGCTAATTTTTTATAAGCCAGAATTTTTGAAAATAAAGGTTGAATTGAAAGTTTAGGAATCTTGAAAAACTAGTTAAGTTGCAGTTTACTGAATTACATTGATGCAAACACCTATAACATTAGAATTGACATTTTTGGTCTGGGATGCACAGTTTTAAAGATTTTTTGAATGACCCTGAAAATGCCCTTTGAGGTCGACTTCATGGCATCAATGGATTCAGCATACATTGCATCATAACATATATTCCCATTGTTTATTTTAATATGGCATCATCTATAGAGACATTACATTATGTGTATTCAGACTTTTGAGACATTCTGTATATTTATTTTTGAAATTTTCCAAATAAAAACTTACTTTTTGAATTTAATATTTTGCTTTTTATATGTGAAATTATTCACACAGGCACAATTAGTTAGACTAAAAAGTGTATTTTTATACATATATGGTATTAAACAACAAATATATTTTCATCTATAAAAATTTTGCTTCTGTTTGTTATTTTACAATGTTAAATTATAAAATCAATTTAACACTAATTATGAAATGAAAATCAGATTAAATACAACAAATCATATTCAACAATTATTTTAAAATAATTAAAGTAATTAAAAAATACCTCAATTGAAGAATTATTGATCTTCTTCTTGGTGAGTGTTTTTAAGCAATTAATCATTTCACTAACATTTTCAGGATCTATTTGTAATTCAAGCTGTGACTGAAGAACTAATGGTAATGCTATTAAAAGAGCTTCCACTAATGGAGTTTTCTGTTGCCTTTCCAATAACAATATTAAAAAGTTAATCTGTCCCAGAGAAAGTTCATTGATGCTATGTCTTAACATCTGACCCAGGCTTTTCATTATTGCTGTTGTGCTTGGAATGTTAAAAAAACTTAAAGTCTTATATATTGTAATAACTTCATCAATTGTAAAATGTTTTATACGTTTCATAGTCTGAGTACACAACTGCAAAAAGAGCTTATCTTCAAAAGGATTAAATGGCTTGATGTTTGATTGTTCTCTTAAACATAACAACAAAATGTAAATATATTATAAATATAACTACTTTAAATCCAACAAATAATACTTACTTTGAACAATCATATAAAGAGGAAAAAACAAGAGAAAGATGTTTATTATTCATTATATCAGAATGAGTTGAGATCAAATCAAAAACAGCATCAAAATTTTTTGATTTTCGTAATTTCTCTTCCAAAATATCTGGAAAAATTTAACAATAAGAACATAAATTTTTATTATTATAATGGATTTATAATATCAGAATATAAATCTACAAATTTAAATCATTAAAATAGTGCATAGATACTGTTTTAATGGCAATAACATCTAGGTTCATTTGTAATTTGTATATTTTATTGTTATAAATCTAAAACTTTTAATGAGGACATCAAATATCTTTAGCTATATATAAAAATATATAAGATCTAAAGCAGGTTATACATATTATGTAAAACTAAGATAACAATATAAAAATCTTTAAACTGAAATAATGACAAAGAAAATGAATAAACAAACATTCTTTTTTTTTTTTTTAAAAAAGGCTGGCAGAATTACAATTTAATAAAGTAAAAATTACATTACAGATGGATAGTAGTCCTATCTTCATTGCTTGCCATGTCCAATCACCAGAAACAACTAATTTTGCAGAGACAACCTTTCTTTAGAGGCTGTTTTACAAAGAAATATATTTTTTAATTGTGCTGGGATTGTCACCTGTGAACATTTTAGACTGTTTTACATATTGTGCAGAGACATAGCTTTTAAAGAAAGGTTGTCTCTGCAATGGAAAATAGTTGTTCCTGGTGATTGGACATGGCAAGCAATGAAGATAGGACTAATATCCATCTGTAATGTAATTTTTACTTTATTAAAAAACATTCTTTTTAATCAGTCAACACTAACAATTCCAGAGCATTAGTTTTATTTATAAAGAATACTGTAAGATTAATTATGGTAGTTATCTATCTTATTACCATATGTTCATTTACAAAAATATTTTTAAGTAACTCATTTTTGGTAGTGTTGCAACATTTTAATAATTCCAGTCATTATGAATAAAATTTTATAATTATTGAAGTGAACAAAACTTGGTATCATTACGTAAGAATGCAATACAATAATATTTATTCTTTAAGAAACACTGTTCAACTGAAGATAAGTTTATTAAAACATATTTTTGGTTCTTCTACAGCTATCTATAGCTTTGATCCATATGTAGTCAACAGTACTTTCATAAAAATGTTTTCAAAATTGGAAATATAAATGTTCAACATACCTAAAAAGTAATAATAAATATAAGTGCATAAATTTATTTGGATTGCATTAAACAAGCCTGTTGCATTGTTTAAATCAATTATATACCAAAAAGTTTTTTAAATTTTAGATTTCAATTAATTAATGAAAAAATATTCATTACAGAGATGCCATACACTACAGATTTTCTTCCATAATCTCTATGGCAGTCATGTGTAAATTATGGACTAACAAATAACTAAAAATAGAGTAAAATTATGGACTTAGATAACTAAAAATAAGAGAATAAAGTTGATAATGCAACAACAAATGTAGATGTTAGTGCTTTGTCCACACAGAATCACCAGTATGCTGAGTCTCAAACCAATCAGTTTATTCAAAATCAATGACATGAAATGTATAGACAGTGAGCAAGTGTTAGATAAACCCTTAGCCACTAAGGGTCTATCTAAAAACTTTTCCTATGCAAAACTGAGTTGTACAGTCACACCTGTCAAAAATGGCATATACTCTTCTGACATTATGATTAGACATGCTAGGAAAAAGTGTATTACAAAGTTCAACTTATAAATCAGTAATGAGAAAAATGATTTCAATAAAATGTTCCTAATCTCTCACATCAACCAATGCTAGTTAAACAGGCATGAAAACTCATCAAAACTGAAATCTGTTGGGTGTGTTAAACTGGTATGGTATAGTGGAAGAATTTTATTTTGTTACCAATGATAGTGTAGATTGATTAAAAATACTAATTATTATTTTCCCAGCTCTTATATAACAAAGGGAAATTATGGTAATCGGTTAAAAAACGAACCCCAAGTTTTTCACATTTTTGGATTTGGGACTTTGAAATGCTGAAAAATGCATAAAAAGTCAACGAGGACTTTCTGTATGTATGAAAGTTAGTGTGTGTGTAAAGTATGACTTTTTCCACTCACTTTAAAGTTTAAGAACTCCTGTGCCTTTTAGTTGAAAATTTTTGAACTTTTTCAACAAGGTGTATGTATATTTTAGGAGAAATGTTTCTAGAAATTTTCAGGAAAATCAGACCATTGGTTTGAGAGGTATTAAGGGACTGGGGGCCATCTTTCAAACAGCTTGCAAGTTATAAATTTTTTTTTTATTTGTACAAATTTTAGTTTATCAAAAATTAAACGTATTTTTCAAAAATCACCCCAGACCCCAAAGTTATAAAAAAAATCAAAAAATATTAACATTTTTGATGTTTTTTACAACTTTTATAAGAATAAATTAATTCAGTTCTAACTTTTTCCAATATGTATATATTAATTAATAAAATAGTTTTAAGAAATTGATATTTCCCTAACCACCAACTGTAGGTCTGGGATAAAAATATAAAAAACTATTTTTTTTTTTATGAAATTCTTTGAAATTTCTGTTTGTATTATTAATCATAATTTTCATTAATATGAAACCAAAAGATCTTTACATGTTGAAGAGATGGGAGGGTAATATTTTTAAAATAGTTGAATGTCCGACATGTTTTTTTTACAAGTAATCACGTGTAAAAAAACATGTGGGGCATTTAACTAATAATCATAAAATAAATTATGCTTGTTCAAATTTTATATATAAGCAAGAATATAGAATATTTTCAGGATCCAGGGTGTTGTAATTTTAGCCAGGCAGTTGTAATTTTATATCGGTTAATTTTCAATGTTATTTCCCTATGTCTCACTTTTTTTGGACCACTGGTATATGGTTTATTACAAAATAGGGTCTTTAATAAAAAATACATCAATCAATATAGTTATCACTGTTTATTAAACATTAAAAATATATTGGAATATAATAATATCAATAACAACTTTTTTTTTGGAATATTAAAAACAAACTAAATTGGAACTTTTCTCGTTTTAGTTTTAGCAAATTTGTCAGACTTTCATAAACTAATAACATAACTTTATCGTTTTCTATAAACATCATAGAAAAGCAAACTAAATGGAGTTGATATAAGGAATTTCTTAAATAATTTTTAACTCTAAGAACTGGAAAAAATACGTTCTCCACTTGCATTGCAAATAAGAATTGTCAAAAATATATTCAGAATTGTCTCTACATTAGGAAATGTAGATTGTAAACCTCCAATTAATAATATATACATGTCAACAGGATTGCTGACATTTTCTTCTTTTACAAAGGCAATAAAATGGACAAGTTCACACTTTTAATATCAATATCATTTTGATATTTTGCGTATATGTTTTCCACATAATCATTGAATTGGACGTCAGATATTTTAAAATTAAAAGATAATTCTGAAGCCTGAATTTTGAGACCCCCTTGATTTATAAGGCTTTGTGTCCCTGTGCAGAGATCTGCCACTGTATGTAACTGCATAATAAACATGACATAACTTTTAAACTATGCCATTTTGACCACACATTTAAATGAACTTCTTTGTTTGAAATTATTCAAAAAATCAGCCCCCGAAATCTTTTGTATGATAGAAAACAAATCATCCTCCATTATGATAGTGTTTTTAAAACAAAGATTACCTTAAATGAACATAAGAGTTTCTAAGGGTCGAGTTATAAACTCCGTAACGTAACCGTATCCGTAGCTGTAAGCGTATCCGTATTGCGTGGTTATAAACTCCGTATCGTATCCGTATGGCCGTACCATATTCCGTAAGAAAAGTTTGGATCGATCAAACTTTTATGGTAGGGATACAGAGAATTGACCAACTGCACATGCGCTAAGTCGCCATCAGTTGATGTACAATCGGAAGTTGTGCCGGAAACAACCGACGAAACTTTGACAAATTGATGGAAACGTAACTTTTGACCAACAATGCTGCTTCTGAATAATATAATATTTTAAGATAAGAATTACTTTGGTCATAAAAAAAATAGAAAAATAATAAAATGAATAAATAATTATAGTGTTAGATCTAACAATAACTACCGATGATTTTGCGCATGCTCACGATGGACTGCTTCGTAAACCATAAAATAGTTTGTTACGGAAAAGGCCTTACAGTAGTTTATAACTAGTGCTATAGATATCTAGTGTAGCAAACATTTACAAATACGGATATGGTTACGGAGTTTATAACTCGATCCTAACTACCATAATGCTAACTGAAAAAGATCATGTAGTAAAAATATAAATATCATTGATGGCTACCAATCTTTGACTTCGTGTGACTAAAGTATAAATTACATTTATTACTAGCTTTCGTCTTAAATTTTTAAACACATCAAATATACTCACCCGAATCTCTTTGGACTTCTTTAGAAGGTACATCAGCAATAGCAAATGGATCAGTTTCCTGAATTTCACTACACCTTAGACATTGCGTAGTTCTATGTAACCGTAAACTTTGATGGGTTCCTAAGAATTTCTCTATGATCTTATATTTTGCAATACTTCTACATAATACTTGTCTTAACATCTTGAGATGGTATTATCAGAAAATCTGAAACATACAAAATTTTAAAGCAATATAATTATATCAGTTATCAAAATAATTACCAATTTGTAAAACAAGAAAAGTATAGAATATATGCAAAAACTTTATTTTAAAAATTTTAAGTTTTATAATCATATTAAATTAAATTTTGTAACTGTAATACATACTTTTACAAAATACATACAGGATTATTTAACTGATAACTTGTTAACTCATTCAAATAACAATAAATTATAATTATTGTTCATTTCATAAACACATAATACAACCACCGAAAAACGTGAGGTCGAATATGACTAACGCCCTCTGCTTAAAATACACGTTTTAACTTTAAATTATTTTATTTACTTAGCGTCATGAAGTTGATATATTAAATAAAATTACAGTTCAAATTATATTTTAAATTAATAATATAGATATTCTGTTTTAAATTATCATCATTGATCAATGATTACAGACGTCTACACGAGTCTAGCTCTCTGGTAAACATTAGTTCTAAATTATGCCGCTACGGCAAACAGCGCCAATCGCGACAACTGGATTTGTCTTTACGAAACATAATAAAATGCAAAAAACTGTATAAAATTTAATATCTATTTCAAAAATTCTTGTATCATTCATTTATACTTATGGTGTCTATCATTTATAAAGTGATAAAGGTTTTGTTGGACGTCTGAAAAGGAGAGGGGTTGCGGAAACTTGGACAATCTGGGACTAGAAGGGGAGGGAGAGTAAAAATTTCAAGAAAAATGCAGACATAATTTATGGACAACCCCATAGTGTTCCAGCATATCCTAACTCTATGTGAATTGATTATAGCAGCTCGTGTCTGTGAAGACGAATAAAAGGCTCGAGACGAACTCGTGCAATGATCCGTCAAAATCATTCTCTTTAGAAATAGAGGCGCGGAAATCACGAAATTCGCCGCAAAATTCAAATTTTTAATATTAAATTGAGTCGCTATGCAACAATAAAATTTTCTTGTTGTTGAGAGGATCTACTGTTGACTCGTGCGATTATTTATTGCGAGTGTTTTCTCGAGTTTTGCTTCGTTTGCTGCGTTTGTATAAGTTTAGACTACGATCTTTCTAGATTTAAATACTTTTTATCTTTGATAAGCAAAATATCACAATTAGCGGCGGTGGTTTTCAATAACAATTGATCGGTTATCTTCAGAAGAATCGGATCTTTCATTTATTTTTGGGGAGTCGATTCAGTCTTTTCATTGTTAATTATCCAATCGAATTGTTTATGCAAAATGAAAATTAATAAATAGCCTACTTTAAATCTGTTATTCCCCGCTATAGTTTAATTAATTAATTTAATGTATATACATATGTAATATATAATGAAAGTTTTGTTTTCACAACATTCGCTCATTTTTCTTTGCAGAATGGGCAATTTCAAAGAATTGAAAAAGTGGCACACCTCGGGCATACTGTGCCCGAGGATGGCGCCCCGTCTTGGCCTCGTGTAATACGGGTGCTTCCGAAAGATGCGGAGGAGGAGTCGCATACACCCGACGCCAAACGGGTGGTCGTCATAACTCCGGACGACAGCGACTCGTCTCTCGTCCATTATCTGGAGCGGCGATACCCCGAAGTTCCGGAATGGACGATGCAGACACGGTCACGTAAGACGGGACTTGACAGAAACGAGTCCGAAGAAATGTTGGAAGAATCCGTCGAGCGTAAGAGGCCTTGGTGGAAAAGATTGTTTTGCTGCTGGTAAACAAACCTCTTCTCTGCCGAGGCCTTCTTGTACGAATTTCAACTTTCCATCGAAGGTGACCTTTCACCCGGCTACGACTTAAATCTAGACTTGACTTTCCATCCCAATTTACGGACGGATTCTTCGACACCATTCGAGATTCGTTCTCTCACTTCGGTTATAATGCATAGAACGACGACATTGAAAATGAAATTTAAGCAGTGTTCTCGTGTTTAATTAAAAACTGTTTAAACGACTATAGCCGGTCAAGACAACTTATATTTCGACCGATTTTCTACTAGTAAAACATTTCACCACAGAATAATGCACTACAGGAGGAAACCATTTCCACGTTGAATTTTAACTAAACACACCTTGCAGTCGATGTGTGTTCAAACCAGAATTATAATTACTTCAACAATTACATTTGTACTTGGAATTTTCACGATTGTATATAAATTTTCATACTTAATAAAACTTATTAAATTTCACATTAACTTTTTAAAAATTCGATATTTATCAAAATATTAAAACGGCGCATTTTTGGATTAATTTCTAATTAGAGACATTATTATTAACAGTTATGAGGAGTGACAAAACGAGCAAAAATTCATAATGAAACAAAAATCAGCAAAATATGATTTGAAAAACACGGAATTAATTTGTGAAAAATTCGCATGAAAAATAAAATCGCATTCAAATGAGATCCGCGAGCCTTTTCATAAACACGTTTTTAACATCAGCGGAAAAAGCCTTTTAAAAAATCCAGCAATGAGTTGCTTAACTTTTCCGGTAACATTTGATGATGCCATCTGTTAAAAATATTTTTTATTATAATCTTTTTATAACTATTATAAAATGGCAATAAACTTAATTTCGGGTTAGGGTCAGGCCCATCTTTAGGTGTGGCCTACCGGGCCTGGACCCAGGGGCCTCCTAACATTCGAGACCTCGAAAATATGCAGAATTGAAGAGCAACAAGTAACAAAATTATTATAAACAATCAAGATAAATTTTATTAAATATATATATCAATATGTTTAGCAGAGAAAGCTAATAGAAAAAAATTTATGAACATTAGCCCTCCATTACGAATTCCTTCAGGGTGGTCTCCAAGCTTTTCTTGGGGCAGGGCCTCGCACGTACAAAGGCAGGCCTGGGTAGGGATGGGTTTTATTATAATAAAAAAATTGTAGTAAAGTTCTAATTCGGAAAACACAGATCGTATTTTTATTATTTTCAAAATATAAATAGAAGTCTCGGGTTTAAATATGCAAAACACTGTTTATTCTTCATTTATCCATTCATCAAGAATTTTCGCGACCGGTTATGAAAATACCAGTGGAGTGTTGGAAGCAGCTCGTGCGAGCCGATTCCTAGTGGGAAGATTGTGCAGTCACCTAGGCCTGCACAATCTTTCCACTAGTTTACACTCCGTCTTCCTTAATTTGGGGGTACTCGACAACTGGGCGATTCACAATGGGTGACGGAAATTTAAAAATTTTTGCACGCTTAGCAAGCATTAAATTTTTTAACTGCTTAAATTCCGTTTTATTTCATTTAATTTTATACATTTTATTATTCATAATGGTAAACTAAGAAAATTTTGGGAGTCGAGTTTTGTTGGACGTCCATGAAGGGAGGGGATTACAGAAACTTGGACAAACTGGGACAATGGGGGAGGAGTAAAAATTTCAAGAAAAATGTGGACGTATCTTTAATGAATAATTAGTATTAAGTATTTAAACGTTTTATAACTTTCTCATCCAAATTATTTTTTCTTACATCAATATAGCATGGATTGAAATTGAATTTAAGTGATCAGATTTTGCACAAGTTAAATAATCCACTTATTACAATATATTTTATTTTTGTACATTTTATTATTATTCGTTTACAATATACAACGAAAACAAAAGACTATTTTCCATTTCTATTCAAACTGTATCAATGAAAATTATCTAATAATTGTTCCAAATACATTTGGATTGCTTTTCAGAACGTTAGATTCCAAAACTTTTACTAACTTCCTCTTTAATTCTAGCATCATCTGTAAAGTAAATTTTAAAAAATTAAATTATTGCATTGTGGAAATAGAACAAAATTATTGTAACATGCTGAATTTTTTCCCCATTAATTATAGATTTAAAAAACGAACATTATGTTCGTTTATGTTAAAAAATGACATGTACATTAGATTCTCATTAATTCAAATTGGACACTATCCCCACATGGTCCCCATTTTAAATCAATGCAAAATTCTCTTGGTAATTCAAACTTGATCGTGCCTCCTCCTGTTTATTTGAATCAAGAGCATGTGTTACTAGATTAAATTTCAAAAATGGGATGATGCTATAGATTTAAATCAATTCAGTTGGCAGATGATAGTCATCCCATGGCACATGCTCATTCATCGTGGCTTCTCATGGGCAATACAGAGCCTTTGTTTTGCATTTCTCATTGATTAAACATTATTCTACTTGTTGTGGTGTTAATGTTTTTTAAAATTATTTCTGTTTTGTTCTGTAGCAACCAGAAAGGGTCTCCTTTTATAATTCAAACAGTTTAAAATCGTCCCTCCGAGTTCAAACTAACAAGAATCTACTGTATTTCATGCATTTATGTAATTTTGAAAGTAGTACCTGTAATTGGTGAAAACAAACAATTATAAATTTATAAACAATATGTAGGAGTCAAGATTATATCAATTCCAAAACAGTGTATATTAAATATTTTCTGTTCTCTTTAATCTAATTTATTATATCATTGATTAACAATTATAACATTCTTTCCAAGTCAATTTCACATGTACTGTACCAGGTTAAATAAACACTTCCTAACCTATTAAAATGAAAATAAAAATATTTCATTTATTTTTTATTGAGGACAATATGTGCTATTGAGTGTTACTGTATGAATGAATATTGTTTTGTCGTCATTAATTACAGTTTGTATCAAAATTTGTAGCAGCAGTTAGGCAACATTGCATGTTGACTGCCTGAAATGTTTTACTGGGAAGAATGCTATGTTGCATTAAATTGTTAGTAAAAATTCATTTATAATATTTTTTAATTATTATACACTATAAACAAATTATGCAAAAAGAAAAAAAAAAAAAAATAATAATAAAATTTTAAATTAACAGTAAATTTTTATCTTTTTGTTCAATGATTTTTTTTATTATGGTATAAATTTTCAGAAATACATTAGAATAATAAAATTAGTTGTAATTATTTCAATAATTAAAATCACACATTTGGAATTGAGCATTGAACTGAAAGTGAGCTGAATGTTCAATTCAGAATGTGATTTAATCATTTAATCTTGGCAGAGAATTGTAACATCTTTCCAGTAAAATCTGTATATTCTTTATTTATGTATAGAAAAATGAACACATTTAAACTGACATTATTATGTTAATCCAAAAAAGCTAACATGTTGTCTGGCAGACTAAACAGGATGTAACTTTTTGTGTTCCAATTCCTCCTCTTCCTCACACATCTGCCTTCAGTTGGGTGAGAGATGTAGTAGTGGTATTCTTTCAATCCTTTCACAAGTGTTCCTTTAGTGAGTTTTTAATTTGTGTTGTCTAATGGACAAAATGTTGTAGTATCACAAGAACTAATGTAAACAATAATAGTCTGGAAGATGTTGCTAGTAGTTACTTAATAACAGCAAGAAGGTTTTGTGCATTCAACCCCTCAAGCTAGAGGAATTGACCAAATTCTTCTGATGCTATTGCTCCAAAGCTATGTTTGGTAAATCTCAGTTAAAGTGTTGTTTTGAGTGCATACAACACTTATAAATGTTTAATTTGGCATGACTACAAGTTAGTCACATCTTTTGTAAGTAGAAACCAACTTATGTAGTAAATAAAAAACATTTGGCAAAATTTACATTGTGTTTTAATTTTCAAGAAATCAGAAGTCCAGGAAACACATCACTACTTTGGAAGAAAACCAGCACAACTCAAAATTACTAGTTTTGAGAAAATCCCATGCAAAGATTTAACCAAAGTTTAACTGAATATCACTTATCTCCCACATAACTGCTCTCTAGTGGCTGAATACGCAGTTTACTTTTGTGACACTCTTCCACACAAAAATTTTCTTGATTATAACAATAAAAAAAAATTGCCCTTTTTTGAGTTATGCCAGTTTTCTTCCAAACTAGCAATATGATTAGTTCTGACACTTCACACAGGACATGTTAGCTTTCTAGTAAAAATTTCTCTTAAAAAGATGATCATACTAAAACAATTTAAAATAAATATAATTAAGTTATTACAGAGAATAAATTGAAAATTATAAAAGATAAAATTATCTGTGCAAGTTAAATTTAAAAAAAGTATTATTAAACTTCAATACACATAATTTATACATTAGGAAAAAGTAAATATATATTCTGATGAATAATTTAGTTACATTGAACTAAATACACATTATTAGACTACACATAAAATTGAAAAAAGATTAGAAAATTGAAATATTAAATACTTTATTTCCAGCATTTATTATTCACAACATTTTTAGTTAGTATAAAATAATTGAAAACTTTTATTGAACTAATTTAAAAAATTTCCTAAAAACATTAATATTCATTTTTAATGTCAAATTTAAATTTTCATACTACATATATAGACACAGAAATATGTAATAACCAATATTTAAACTATTATAATTTTCCTTACCAAAATATATCAACAGACTACGGACCTAAAAGATAACCTGATTAATAAAACTTGCAATTATTGAAATAGCAAACATTTCCAAAGAATATGTACAAACAACTTCTAAAACAATTTAAATGATCAAATAAAGTTGTTACGAATTAGAATAAAGAACATTGAAATACTGATGTCCTTTGCATTTTGGACGCACTTTATACATTTTCAGTACTCAAAAATATAAATGTATTAAATGATTCAACTATTCAGTTTTCAACAAATAATTTATTTATGTTCAACAAATAAGTGAAATATTAAGAAAAAAACTATAAATACTATATGTAAGTTAAATAGTAGAGTTTACTTGCCAAAATTTCAAACTAGTTACCCAAGAAAACAAAATATCAAATTTGAGTTCCTTTGAATCATTCTTATAAATATGAAATAATTGTTATATAGTTGTATTATTACATAATTATGTGTAATTTAGAATTTAAAATATCCTTTTGTCTTACAATTTAATTATAATAAATGAATTTAATTTATTTTTTTTTTATCTGACCAATTGTTTTAATATAATAGAGTCCCAGAAACTTGACTCAATAAAACATTCTGTAAATGTGTCATTCAAAAACAAAAAATACACATATCCTAATTTTTAACCGTATAACTCTTTGATCAAATAACTTATTCTTTGCTCACAATACTTGATAATAGCATCAGTTCCATGGAAAAAAAAAAGGGTCCCCTTTTATCAAGGTGCCACTATAAAATGCACAACAAGAATGTCACATCATCAAAAGTAGCCACTGAATAGTCAGTATTTTTTAAAATTAAAACTCAACTACAAATAAAAACACAGTAGAGCATCGATGATCCAACTCAATTGGGGACTGGAGTTGGTCGGATAATTGAAAAGTTGGATAACCGAAAAGTATGAAAAAAATCCATTATTAGTGTAGTATATTATTATATTCCATGTAATTAGTATATTGCTATTAACCTACTTCGCATTGAATTCTCTTCCATGCTAAGCCTATCAATTTTTTTTAAATTATAATTGTCGCTATTGTATCATTAAAAATTAGAAAATTAAGCCTCGTTTAAATACTGGCTCCCTTTCATGGTTGATTGAGTGTTGCCAGCTAAAACACACAAAAATAATATTAAAGTAGCCAAGACATAGCCAAATATTGTAGCGCCACATCACTAGCAGACATTTGAATTTGCCGACTAGAACGTGGTCGGTTAACCGAGGTGACAGTTAATCGGGGGTCAAATAATCGATGCTCTACTGTAGTCACTATTGATACCTAGTAAATACATTTATGAATTTGCACATAATACCTATATGAAAATTCCACTATTTAGAATCTCTAGCTACTGTTTGTTAAACAAAATTCATTAATTTAGTGGAATTCCATCACAGTTGGCAACATGCTCCTGCTGATGAGTAATTATTTTATGTTAGATTATACTGAAGATTTTCTTTCCTTCTAAATGTGTTAAATGATTTTTAATAGATTAATTTGTAACAATGTATTATGACTTGTGAATACAGTAGAGAGTCGTTTATCTGAATCAATTGTGGAACTGGGGTTGTTCGGATAACTTATTTTTCGGATAACAGATTATGTACGAAAAAATACATCAACCTATCCCGTGTTGAAATTTTTCTCCATTGCGTGTTGCTTCGAGTTGAATTTTTGTTGACGTTAAGCCTAATGTAAACTAACTTTTTAAAATAATAATCGTGCCTATTGTATTGTTAAAAATTATTTCTTTATTTTTTACAAGCAAAATAAATATATTGAAAAATATAAAAACAAAACAAATTTATACTTTAGAAGTTATCTAGTATCAAAAACATTCGATTCAGCATGACACACAGTCCTCAGAAAAACACCACACAAAAGTGACAGTGCTGCCAGCTAAAACACACACAAACATAAAAAATATTGAAGTAGCCCCATATAGCCAAAGATTGCAATGCCACAGCACTAGTGAAAATTTAAATTTGTCGACTGGAATTCTTTCGGATAATTGACGTTTCGGATAACCGATGCTCTACTGTAATACACTCCAAAGTCCATAAAACTCATTATTTTCAGTAACTCACCACCTTCTCAAGTTTTTGGGGTACTTCTGTAATATTTAATTCCAATTTATTATTTAAGAAATTTGATAGTGACAAATTTTTTATTAAAAAATAATAAAGACTGTCATATACTGCCATTCATTATTTCCATAAAAAATAGTTTACACGTTTTTATATGTAAAACACAAAATGAATCTTAAATTTAACATCATTTAAAAAAACATTAAGTATATGAAAATTAACTTCAAATTATCATTAATTTGGTTTTTCCAAGATTAATAAATTAAGGTACACAGAAAGAGTAAAACAAGAATTTAATTCAGACATACAAAATTTTCATTCCATTCTATATTACAGCATATGGAATAAAAATTAAGATTACTATAGTATTTAGCTTAACTTACCATTTATTTCTTCAACATTTGGAATCTAACTAATAAGAATGGTGTAGCAAAACCACTTCCAAAAAATAAAATAAATAAGCCAGTTAGAAGAAATCTATTATGGGTTGGAAAAGGCAAATTCTGAAAAAATAATAATTTAGTAAATATATATGATGATATAATAGCTATCTGAACATTTTAATATCAATTGATAAACATATAAATAAATAATAATAATATTCAAAGCATACTAATTTCTCAATTTTTAATTTTAATAAAAAGATGCTTTATCTATATGCTTGTCTAACTGATGTGATATAGCATTTTTTATATATGAGAATTATAAACCACTAGAACTTAAACTTAGTAAATTTACTAATATAATACAGTATCTGAAAACAATCTTGTATATTAAAACAACACTTTTTGAATACATTTTTACTTTTAAAGTTGTTCTACTAAGTAACTTTTTCTTACACTTCTGAAATTTAAACAGTAACAAGATATTATATTTTGATTCCTTTGTTTAAAATATTAATTTTAAAACTGACTTAATACTTAAAAATATTCTCACTAATTAATCTTAACATGACATACATAGCAATCTTTACACTAAAATGAAAGTGAATTTATTTTCCTTAGTTTACATATAGTGAAAATTAACTTTATGCAAAATAAGATAAGTATAAAAAATCATAGCAATTATTTTAATGTCCTAAAATGGTTAATAATGTACTGGTATTTAGTTATTTCTTGCAACCTCACATACTGCATAAGTCATTTTGGTTACAAGAATATTGCCTCTGTTGACATAATGGCCCATTATTGAAGAGAACGAAGCTCTTGAAGGATTCTTGGTAGAGGCTAACAAGATGCAATTCCCCTCATCAGAATATTCTACACATGTTCAATGGATTCAGAATATCCCAGAGTATCTCTCCATGGAACAGATATCATCACTTGCAAGAAATTCTTTGACAAGCACAGCCCTACATGTGAGGATATTATTGTCCATAGAATCTGAACCCACATTGTATCTGAAAAGACTTAAATGTTATTTCAGTATCTTGTACCTGTACCTAGTAATATTTGTAGAAAAAATGTGAAGCCCTTTGCATTCATTGATCATAATGCCTCCAACTTTCTTCATATTGTGGTCTAATGAGAATCAGAACTGTAAACAGTTTTCTGGCTCATCAGCAAACAATTTGATCCACTGATTCAGAGTCCAGTTATGATGTTCCTGACAGATAATGCTGGTTTAATCTTCCCATTGTCTGGAATCTTGCTATAACTGTGAATATGATGCTTTGAGACATACTTGTATGTATATTATATCCAATGGCCTTGAACCTCCAACTTCAATAGCATAAAATCATCAATGTATTTTCCTCTCTACCATGCATATGATGTCTGTATGCAATCAAAGTTTCATAAAAGCAACAAAAACAGGTCATAGGTGTTCTTGTTCTGTGATTTCTATGATCATGAAACAAAAACAGCAATACTTCATGCAAGTATGCTTTATTTATGGCACTGCATATGTTACATAAATTTGTATCTTTTTCATAACTTAGTAGAGTGAATACTGACTTTTGTACACTATGGTAACCATAAACACACATTTTAGTTAGTTGTTTTAATTCTTTTTAGTAACAGCAATGTATTTAAAAATTAAGCTTATTTTTTAGACATCATTGTAATACTGATTGATTTTATATTTTAATCATTTTGCAATTAAAAACTTCATCATCTAATATCATTGCTAGTGACTGATAACGTTTGAAATATTTTACTTTCTACAGGCTGAACTATAAACTACGTACTGCAACCATATCTGTACCATACCCAGTGTTTGAAACCCTGGTACTATAACAATACTTTTAAAATACCATAAGGCCATACATGTACCAAATGTGTATGGTCTTATGGTATTTTAAAAGTGTAAATTTACATCAAGAGTGTTCATGTGTACAGTTCACTGTACACATGAACACTCTTGACGTAAATTGGAGAAAATATCATCATTTGATGTTGCCAAATCTACACTACCGTATATTTCTGCAGATAAGACGACCTTCAAATAAGATGAAGTATAAATTTTCATCAAAGTTTTATATTTTTAGCATATATCTGTCCTATAAGATCCCCCAAACTATCAACGGTCTATGAATTTAGTTTAGATCAGCAATCATCATCTGGATAATAATACTGTATAACGTATATGAAATTATGTCCTATTTGTAATTTTTCGAATGAACAAATTTTATTTTCTTTCATCTGGCAGCACTGCGTTGTTATTGTTGCAAACATTTGCACTGATTCGGGCATTTGAAATGACCTTGACTATCCACAAAATCATCATATGTGCTATTCTATTCTGTGGACATACCCTTCTCTCTACTAGTATATACAATTTTTCTATTTTTTTTTATAATGGTTTTAATTTATATAAATTAAAATCTAATTTTTTTTTATCTGTCCTATAAGACAACCCCAGATTTGAGCTTTTTTTATGATTCAACTGTCATCTTATCTGTGGAAATAATGAATAAATAATTATCGTATTATTTTTTTGATTTGTTTTCTTTATTACCAAAGTAAACCTTACTTTAAATTTTATATCGTTCAAAAGTAACATGAATTGATCAGTTACATTTGACCCAATCTGTTATTTTTTTCTCAACATAGCAATGCTGTATTACTGGCATCACTAGCAATGCTTTAGTATTATGAAATGATGAACACAGTCAAATATTTAGGTGATGAGCTATTAATACAAGAGTTTCCTTTCTTGTATGACAAAAGTCACATAGACTTTAAAAATGTACGGATAAAAAAATAACACATGGAAGACCATGGCTGAGACTGTCCAAATGACAGGTATGTGGTTATCAAAATGTACATAGATATTATGCATCTGCATATATTTGAAGATAATGCATCTTTCAGTTCCTGAAGTCCAGACCAGTTAAAAATTATTAAGGAAATGATTTGGAAAAGACAGGAAATATATTCCATCTGGGAGTGGAAAAATCTTGCATCCTACATGGCCATTATATTATCCATTGATGTCCCTAAAAATGTTATAAAACATCACAAGTTGTGCATGACTATTCTGAAGTCCTCATGCTCTTGCACAGTATTCTCATATAGCTTTACTGGCTTTCAAGACACAATGTAATTATGCTGCTAATGAAACAATAATGAAACACAGCTCAAGCCTCAGTATATAGACAATCCCCTGGAGTACATTTGATGTACGAGGCACATTCAGAAAGTAAGTACAGTGGAATCTCGGTATATGACCTTAATCCGTTCCCGATGTTTGGACTTATACCGAATTGGACGTATACCAAACCAACCTTTCCCATAAGAAGTAATGTAAAAATGATTAAATTAAACCGTTCTCACATAAAAAAAAAATGGATGGCTTTAAACACCTCACTGGATAGTTCCTGCTTGAGTTTTCATGAGATCAGCATGTATCTTTTTAGCTTTCTCTCAAATAATTGCTTCTGATATGTTGTCTTCAGCACATTGCTTTTCAGTTATCCAAAGCAAAAGCAATTTCTCAACATGATTTAATGTCTTCGATCTCTGTTTAGAAATTGATTTAACCCCTTTCGCAATGCTAGCAGATTAATAATGTCTTTATTTTTCACGATTGTCGATATCGTTGTTCTCGGAATACAGTATGCAACATTTAAAATTTCGAACACACATGCCACCTTCATATTTCTCAACAATCTCCTTTATCAGTTCCGTTGTGATTCTAGTCATTTTTTTAGTTTTCTGTTGCTTTTCATTTGCCGTTTTGCAATTCATGATTAATAAAAATAAAATTTTACATACAAATTAAAATCAGAATAAATCTAGCAAAGTTATAAATTGCAGCACTGCGAACATCTAGTCTGGTCTAGTACACCAATAGTGCTACTTGTTCATAGATGGCACGTATAATTGAATTAAGTCATATACTGAACAAAAGTCATATACTGAGCAAAATTTGTTTCGTCCAAACAGGATATATTCTGAATTGGACTTATTCTAAAGCAGATGTATACTGAGGTACTACTGTATACTGTGACCATAACAGGCTGTAATTTTTCATTTTTTGAGGGTTGGCAACACTAAGTGGTAGAGAGAGATCTCCTGATGGAGCAAGCATTGCAGGAACACAGTAGTACTGTACATAAACTCGTGTTGCAGTGTCCAGTTGCGTGAAAGATGTCGGTGAGAAATCCTGCCAAGTGCAAGCCACATGCTGTGATCCACATCCTACTCGCAGAAGGAATAACACCTACCAAAATTTTTTCGCAAATCAAAACAGTTTACGACAAAGGTGTTATGAACAGAATGAGTGTTTAAGTGGTGTAGAAAGTTTAGTGGAGGCAGAACAAATGTTCATGACAAACAGAGGAGTGGAAGACCTTCCATTTTGACTGATGAATCGGCTGATGAGTTTGACTGGAAAAAAAAAAAAAAAAAAAGAGGAAACTGTTTGTGAAGACCACCAATTGACAGTAGATGAAATTTCTGCGATGTTTCCACAACTCTCCAGAACTCTCTTATAAGAGACACTCACAGAATGCCCATCATCACACAGCCTTAGCCACCAAGGCACTCTTGGACTCATTTGGTTTGGATTTTTGAACCCCCCCCATATTCCCGACTTGGCACCTTCAGATTATCATCTTTTCACCTCCCTGAAGACACATGTGGATGGAATTAAATTTTCACTGATGAGCAGGTGCAGAAAGAGGTTCCAAAGTGGGGGAAGGAACTGGCTGGAAAGTTCAAGGAGGGAATATAGAAGCTTGTGCCACGGCTCACCACATGCATTGAACAGAATGGCGATTATGTGTAAAAACAGTCAACAAGTGTATCAACAATATCCTGTAAATTTTTTTCAAATACACTTTTTCTAAAAAAATATAAAAATCTAGTACATTTACTTTCTGAACATGCCTCGTACTAACCAGGGTGGATGTTTCAGACAATAAACAAGATGCCCTATGTGCATCACGAGGCAGGACATCTTGTTCATTGTCAGAGAGAACTGAGGGTTGCAATAAACCCAATGAAGGTACCTCATTTACATCCATGGGTGTGTCAGATCTGTGACACCACCACTTGCTAGTAGCAGCATGCAAAAAAGAAAAAAGAGAAGTAAGCAGATGCAGATGGAAACTGAATGAACTGGAGACTAGCGTAATAAATACTTTATCTGCTATTCAGCCAGTTCTAGTGACTCAGCAGCTACAAAAGAGGCACAAAAGTGACAAGATGTTTGCAGATTCAATTTCTGCAAACATTCAGAGCTACGTATATATATATATACAGAGAGAGGACATACGTATTTTCTTGAAATTTTTACTCTCTCTTCTCTCTCTCGTTCCAGTTTGTTTGGGTTTCCGTAATCCTTCCTCTTCAGAAGTCAACAAAACTCAATCCCCCTTAAAACCTATATCACTTTACGAACGATAGATACACTAAGTAGAAACGAAACATACAAGAAATTTTAAATTTTGAAATAAATATAATAAAATTCATAAACTGTATAAAATTTAATGAAATAAACGGATGTCCACTGAAGCTCGACCCCTCACCTTCCCTCCCCTTGGCTTAACCCCCTGCCTTAGTGTAGACAGCTCCGTACGATTAAATATTTATTTTCATAATACAAATTAACGAATTACAGTATTATACATTATTACAATTCAGTACACTAATATTATACAATAATGCATTATTTATTCCGGTTAAACTGTAGACGAAGACAAAATTTTAGAGTAAATTGAAACTGAAGAGAACAGATCCTTACCGCTCCTGCATATCCTCCTTCATCGTGTCCACCTCTTCTTAGAGCAGAAGTACCGAATTTTCTGACTAAACATCCGAGTCTACTAACTGGAACCATTTCTCCTATTTAATACTCGATACCGAAAGCGTACCTATTTACAAATGTGAAAAACAATATGGCGCAGAAACGACCTACCGATCGTCGCAAGAGGTCGCGCTCAGAGTTGCCAAGTAAAATTACCTGAAGATATCCTTAATTTTTTTTTTTATTGCTCTTTACGTAAATTTTCGTAAATACAAAATACATGAAAAAAACAAGTGTTTTTGAAAGTTTTATTTAGCTATTTAATAAAGACAATTCAGAAAAGTATTTAAACGTGGTTCATTAATTTGAAAATTTTCCGTGTGGGGAACGAGCAGGTGCTGATTTACATAGGGACTAATAGCAAGGACTTTAAACTACAAGGATAGCCAGATCCCGTATATTTGTTAGCATGACCTTGGATCTATGTGACGTCACAGCAAGTCCTCTACTTCAACATGACAGACCTTTCAAATAACAAAATACGATAAAATATTAAATCATTTCTTAATTAATTATTAAATTACTACTAAATGTAAACTACTGTAGAATTTTCGGATTTAATAAGTGTACTGTACGTCAATAAATTTACAAGTCTTTTGTGTAATATTTATTTAACAAATTAATGAGCTATACTTTTTAATATGTGATTATCTTACTTAACTTTTTAATTTTTTTTCGACAATCACCATTTTCAGAAGGCATTCTTTTCAATATTTTATAGTTTTCTTGTTTAAGATTTCTATAATTAATTCTTATTATAGTTCTTAATTTACAAAAATCTTTTATTAAAGTAAAAGGTAAAACTGTTTCCACTGACTAATTCTGTACAACTCCGGGGCCTTTTTTATACGATTCATCGTGATATATTTCGAAATATTTATTCCATTCTATAATTTTTGCTAGCCATTCATCAGTAGGTTTAATAAGCCCTCCATAAGATAAATG